AAAAAAAACGGACAGGCAAATCACGTGGTGTCGCGAATCCTGTCGCTTCGCTTCTGAAATGCTCCTGGCATGAGTTGGCACCACGTGGAGGATGGAACAAAACCTTGTCTGAGCCGTAACACTCCGCTGACGTGTGCAGTGTAAATAAGGGGTAACTTTGAATAACAATATGGTGAACATTTTTTTTTTTAATACTTGTTAAGTGTCTTGTTAATACTGCAAATGTATTTTAATGCCACAGAACATTGCACAACTCACACATGCAAGTCAACAAGCATACAACACAACACCACACATTACATACTCAGCACTTCACTGCACTCAAACACACAAGCATACAACACCACAAACATTATGTAAACAACATACTCAACTCTATACCACACACACACACAAACATAAAACACCACAAATATGAAAAAAAAAAAAATGTTGATGCTTACTGTTATTTGTTACAGTTTGTTTACTGTTTTTTTACTTTTAGTCATTTTCAAATCAAAATCCTGTGTAATGGTAGAACACAGCATGCACCTTAACAACACACACAAACACTAGTTTCCATGTTTTATGGGGACTTCCTATAGGCATAATGGTTACCATAAATGGTTATACTGTACAAATTGTATATTCTGTCCCCTAAACCCACTTGTCACAGAAAACTTTCAGCATTTTTACATATAAAAAAAAAACAAAAAAAAAACAACTTCTTTTCAGTATGATTTATAAGCCGTTTTCCTCATGGGGACCAAAACATTTTTCCCCACAAGGTCAAAAATTACTAGTAGGGCTGTGCAATATATCGAAATATTGCAAATGTACATATCGCAATATGTATATCGCTACGGCTTGCAATATTTGGGGCCATGAACAAAAGACAGAGAAAATCACTCACTGCTCTTACCTAAATAACGTTTGTAGCTTAAATAAGAATCAGTGCATATTGAATTCAAAGAGCACATACTAAGTTGTGTTTTATTTTTCCTTTTTATTATTCAGTTCCTAAACTCATGTTAAAATGACATTTTTATATAATGCTCGAGTAAAACACTATCGTTCACTTTCAGAAGTTGTTGTAGGTGTGCTTTCTTATTAGAATCAGAATCAGGATGAGCTTTATTCACCACTTAAGTGTGCGCAAACACAAGGAATTTGTTGTGGTTTTACAGGAACTCTTGGTACAT